TCAGAGATCTTTGAGCATAAGTTCATTATGCGAGGTTCAATTTAACATTTTGATGTGGATATTGGTGATACAATTTATGCAATTATCTGTTCTAGTAAATATGCAAACATTAGCAGGCTTACTTTATGATACCAGTGTGCAGCTGATTCAGGATTTATTTTGCTTTCAGGGATATTAAGCCTGATAACCTTATACTGGACAAAAATGGACATCTTAAGCTTTCTGATTTCGGTTTATGTAAACCACTGGAAAACAAATACTCATCACTGCTGGAAGATGAAGATCTGACAAATCAGGAGTCCATAAGTGTGACTGCTGTTAGTGATAGTGCTCCCTGGTTAATGCAAAAAGACCAATTACAACAATGGAAACGCAACCGCCGTGCCTTGGTATCCTCATTTTAGTACTACATTTTTCCATTATTGTATCTGCATATGAATTACCTGTACTTCAAATGCTTCTATTTGGTTTCTTCGTCGATTGGTTTAGCCATGGTAATCATTGAATATAATCAACAATAAGTGAAACTCTTTTGTAGGCATATTCTACTGTGGGAACTCTGGATTATATGGCACCTGAGGTTTTGTTGAAAAAAGGATATGGAATGGAATGCGATTGGTGGTCATTGGGGGCAATCTTGTATGAGATGCTTGTAGGTTATCCTCCCTTCTGTTCAGAAGATCCAAGAATGACATGTCGCAAGGTACTTCAATATTCTTTTATATTTTATGGCGAAAATAAGATGATTCCTTTGACACACAGGGACTCTAGAATGATCTACAACTTTGGTCTAGACAAACTTTTGTAAACAAAAATTCCGAAAAAGGTCATGATTCGGAAATGATGATTTCTCAATTCTTTGGACATTTTTAAATAAAGAATTCTATGGACTTATGTTGCTCGGCCTCTCCGAAAATATTGCCGAGTGTGTTTCGGATCCTCCAAAAGTAGTGCATTTTTGGAGGATCCGACACGGGTGCAGCAGTATTTTGGAGAGTCCGCAACAACATAACTTTGAACATTTTTTTGGACAAGAGGAATGAGTTTCAAACTTGTGTCAGACATCCTATTAGCTTAAACAAGGCTAATAGGTTGAAATATGAAATATGATGTGTCATATTTCTTTTTATGTATCAGATTATCAATTGGAGAGCATGCTTGAAATTCCCGGATGAACCAAAAGTGCCAGATGAGGCTAAGGATCTGATCTGTCGTTTGCTGTGTGATGTTGAATCAAGATTGGGGACCAGAGGAGTGGAAGAAATAAAGGTAAATGCCACTAAAGGAATGCATTAGGTCCAATTGACTGTGCAGACACTCTCTTCAAACAAATAAAAACGAGATATGTTCCTTGCTCTCTTTGAATCATATTTGCTTTTTCACTAATTGGAATACATTTTTCCTCCTCTATCATTGACGAGATTAGATCTGTCTTTTCAAAGATTTAGTACAAATTAGCATGCTCAGTGGTCATGCTGCCTCCATGCATATGGTTTTCATCTTCTTACCTTGCGCATACGTTTTCAGGCTCATCCTTGGTTCACAGGAACTAAGTGGGATGCGCTTTACGAAATGGAAGCTGCCTACAAGCCCATTGTTACTGGAGAACTAGACACTCAGAATTTTGAGAAGTTTCCCGAAGTGAGTATTTTTGCTTATAGAATGCTTATTGCATTAATTTGACTTTCTAGGTAGGATTTAGTAGTTGTAGATTAACGCTCATGACAATGATGAGGTCAGTTAGAAGTCATCCTTTTACCTCATGATCCATGATCCATATATGCAATTCAACTAATTCAGCCATCACTTATGCACTTACTTGCATGGTTGAATCTCAGGTATTTCCAATTACTATCAACAGACATCTCCCTTTCAGCTTCTTATGAAGTCATTCTTTTGCATTTTCACTTCCATTAGTCGTTTGTTCTCAACGTTGACCCATGTAAATTCTCAAATTCCGGAGATCTCAGAATTTCAATGTCTTTATTAAAGTGATACGCTCCTTTTATTTCAAAGCAGGTTTATATGAGATTTTCCTTAAACAACATTCTTTTTCCCTATACATATGCTCACTTTTCACTTATAGGTAGAAGATGCACAATCAACAGCACCAAGAGTGGGACCCTGGCGAAAGGTAATGATTACTTTCACAATGCATTACTTCACTCCCTCCCCTCAAACAAAAGAAAACACTATAGAAAAGAAAACTGAAAGCTAGAATGTAAGCATGAGCATAATACTGATTATCCAAATATTTTGGAAACTTTATGCTTGTCCAAGTGAGATCATATCAGTTACCTGTTGCAGTGATTCTTGAGAAGGGGTTAGTCATTAGTCATACCAAGAAATGATTCCTAACTTGTCATTTCCAACGTGCAGATGCTGACATCAAAAGACGCCAATTTTATTGGGTATACTTTCAAGAAATCAGACATTCTTAAATCAGCTGGAACATCAGGTGCCAACTTTCAGAATACCGTTGCCTTGAATTAAATTCCTCAATTTTTAGCTGTGACATATTAGTTAGAAACATGTGAGGTTCCTTATGAAACTACTTTATGCGTGAAAGGCAATAAGGTAACTACTTGAATAAGCAAACCATCACCAATCCTCTTCACCCCCATGCCCGAATAATAGACATGAAATATATTGTGCTATCAGCATCAGATTTGTCTCACTTGTCACAAAAGATCTCAAAGTAGTCAGACTGTTCCCATGCTTAGCCATCTACATCAGTGACGTTATTTTAACTAAACTGCCTTTTGTCACCAATGTAAGGCTTTTCATGAGTAATACTGTCTCTATACAACTGATCTACCTCTAATTTCAAACATCTTCATCTTGTAGGGATAGACGCGAGCTCAAATGGATTGAAGCCTCCTCCATCTTTAGTTTCATTATTTGGTACGGTGACTTTACATGATTTAACATACACTTGTTGCAGTTTGAACTATGATATGATAGCTGCTGAACCTAATTTTCTACCCGATCAGATGATCTTGAATTAGATAGTTTGGATTTAAAAACAAACAAGAGGTTAAAGACTGTGATTGTGTGGTATATCTCTAAGGAACAGGTAGAAGAGCATTGTAAGTTCCTCTAGTTTGCTGCTCAATGGGTTCTATAAGTGGGGATCACCATGGCTAGTTAATGTCTTCTGCATAGAATTCCTCAGTAACTTTTGCTAATATCTCATATAGACTACATTTTCATGACAAAATGGTACAAGCAATGGTATGGTAGTTTGATGTAATCTCTTGAGGCACCCCTTTGAACTGCTATTACAGTCTTGATTTCTACAAATGCTACATGAAGCTTTTTGACTTGGTTAAGTGATGTTTATATCACCACTGCACACTTCATAAGGGTGGCGTTATGTTGGCGGATGGAAGATGATGCTATAGATTTATCCCAAAACTCCTCTGAGTTATAACCCCCCCCTTTTGTTCTAAATATTCTCTTTTACTCCTATTTCTATAAAAGTTGCTTAGCCTCCTATGACATCCATAAAGAGATTACATGTTATCTTGGAGTTCTATACAACCAGCTAAAAGTTGATGATCTTTCCTGTTCTGTATACGTGACAGGTCGTGTAGACTTGCAAGATGCAACAAAGGAGGAAGACCAAAAGAGGAACAACTGACTTTGGTGTCCCGTTTGTAAAGGACAACAGCACGAATTTCTTTTGTACAAAAAGGAGAGAATAAACAGTCAGCATTAATTTCTCTACAGTTTTTGAGTTTCACTTTTGCTCCATCTGGCCTTCACCATGTAATGGTAAATGTATAGGCAAACTTATACATGGCTCAATTTAATCAAAAAAACATTTATGGGAAATATCAATTTTACTTCAAATATTTTGGTTAATGTGATGTTGGATTCTTGAATTTACTTCTGGAGTTATAACTTTTTGGAAGATAGCTGCAAATCCGGAGATGGTTCTAGGTACATGGAAACTTAAAACTGTATTGTAGAGTGGTTTGGGGTATCAACATCTTCCAGTTAATAAATAGTGAGATTTTCTGCAAATTCAGATGTGGTAAAATTTGTCTGTCAGCCATCATAGATCAATGTCTAAATTAATTAAAATAACCAATCGATTTTTGTGTGGTAATATTAGTTACTGAAGGTCCCAAAGTCGATCAAACTCACTATTGAGATATTGTTCCTATTATTGACATGCCGCAATGTCATCATGTAAAGGCCATTCAGTGAAGCAGAGCAACCTATATAATAACTCAAATATATATTCATTTCTGGATGTATAATAATTGGAGGACCTGTAATAGAGATTATGGTCAATTGGGGAAAATAGTAAGCATAGCATATGGGGGACAGAATGGTATCATATGGTTTCAACACAAAGATTAAAGGCCAGGGGATCTTGGGATGATTTTTCAAACCACAGAAGTTAGGTACAGTGTAAATACATCAAATTACAAAGGTATTGCTATCCCTGAGAAATGGACAACATAACTGCACATTTGAACCAATATCTTCAGGAGGCCAAACTTTTGAGTTGCTGCTAGCTTTTTGCAGAACTAGCTGGAGTACACATTTGAAGCCGCCAACAACTTTAATAGGCAAAGGCTCATTGAGATAGCCAAACCTATGACAAACTTATTGCCCTCTATAATCTGCGATTCAGAAAGTGAGAATTAATTCAGTACTGTACATAAAACACCTCAGCATATGCAATAAATATTCTACAAATATTTACCCTTCTCAAACCAAGAAAAATGGAGCAGCGATAGTAAACAATGACAAGATGTTGTGAAACAGCAGAGATCATCATCTTGCCTTGGCCTGTGCTTTCTTTCTGCCCAGAAACATAAAGATGCGTGGGAAGAAGGACTTCTTCTTTTTCTTTGGGATCCTCACTTCTGGAGATGAATCAGTTTCAGTGTTGGTTGTTTTAACGTATTCTTTTGGACTTGAGCTTTGATGAAGTACAGCATCCTCTTGTGCACGTTCAGAAGCTTTTGATTCTTTACTCTCCCCAACACTCATTCTTGGGCTCCTTGTTTTGTTTACTGGTAGAACAGATACACCAGCTTTCCGTCTTTGCTCATGCTCCGCTCTCCATTTCCTCAGCTCTTGCTCTGCTGCCAATTTTCCTTCCTTGGCTTTCTCGGCCTTCTGCTGCGCGATTTCCAGTGCTTCCTTTCTTTCAGTCATCTCACGATTAACCTCCTCGAGCCTGTTTAGACTACTCAACTCTGATTCCTTGGCTACTTCTATTTGGGAGATAGCAGCAGTCACCCTCATGTTCGCTTGCTCCTCTGCCTCGTGGGCCTGCTTGCTGAGTTCATAATACTCTTGCAGAGAAACTGTTACTTCATCTTTGGTGCTTCGGGTTGAGTCATTCTCTTGTAGAGCAGTGATAGCTGCTAGTGCCAACTTCTCTGAAGCTTTTGCAGCCTCTATCTCTTTTTTAGCTGCAAGCAATCTACTTTCCATAGTACTAGCTGCTGCCTTTGCTTGCTCTGCCTCTTCCTTCGCCTTCCTCAGCTCTTCACGAGCCATTTGAGCAAGTGACTTTGCGCGATCGGTCTCTTCTGCTGGCTCTTGCAGTTGATTGGGCAGCTCCACCATCTTTTCTCTTGCTTCTTTTTCCTTCGTCCGCAAAAGGGTAATCTCTGACTTTGTCCTGTTCAACTCAGCTTCAAGAGATGCAACAACAACTGCTGCCATTCCTTCTCTCTGTTGTACAGCAGCTAGTTCTGATTTTTCCTTTTCCAGTTCAGCCTTCAATGAAGCAGCTGCTACTTTCAGGCATTCTATTTCAGCTGTTGCTTTTTCAATGTTAAGCTTCACTTCTTCAAGTTCCCTCTTAGCCGATGCCACTGCTGCTTGTATCTCAGAATGTGTTCTTTTCTCGGGCTCTAATAGCTCTACTTTCAAGTTCCCTTCTTCATCAGCCTCCTCTTTCAACTTTGATTCCATGTAAGCTGCCAACTCAGCGTTGAGATCTTGTAGCAAACCTGAAGCAGTATCTAATTTTGCTTTAAGATCCTTTGCAGACAGAATTTGTTGGTTTAACCTCTCAAGCTCCTCTTCTGCCTGCTTCAGTTCTTTCTCCCAGTTTAATGTATCTTGCTCTCTTGCCATAGCTGCACCAATTCTGTGTTCCTCTGCCTCCAGATGTCCAGCGTGTGCAGCCTCCAAAGATTCCTTCGCGTTGATGAGCTCAATAGTCAAATCCTCCACTGTCTTGTCAACTTCTTTTGATGCTGAAACGGCTTCTTCTGCTTTTTTGATGGCAACATCTTTTTCAGACACCAATAAAGCATAATCTTTACGGAGAACTTCTAATTCAGAATTCACATTTTTGAGCTCAGAAACTGCAGCTTCATGCCTGGCTCTGGCAACTTCAAGCTGTGCTTTGGCAGCAATACTAGCGCCATCAACTATCCCTCGCTCCAACTCTTCTACCCTGAGCTTGGCAAGTTCTGAGTCCTGTTTTGCTTGTTGCTCTTCTGTTTGTGCTCTCTCTAGATTGAGCTTTAACTCTTCTATGAGTCTCTTAGTGCTATCTAGTTCTTTCAGAACAAGCAGTTTTGCATCTTCTGCATCCTGCGCCTGTTTCTTATACAACGGGATCTCCTCCTGCACTTTTGCTAGCTCTTGCTCAACAAGATTCCGTCTCTGCACAAACAAAGAACAAAAAAGCGAACTTTAAAAGTCAAGAGTAAAATAACACAAAACTGGGAGAATCCTACAGAAATTACAACCACTTAACACCTGAGGAAGTAGTGTAAATATGGCCACCAAGTTGCATGTAAACATAAAGTAGATACAAGTGCATATACAGGAGGGGAGGCACAAGTCAACCTATGGGTTCGACCGAACCCAATAGCTTTTGTTCAAACAATGTATTTGGTGATTTGAATTCATGAAATATGTATAAATATGTTGGAAAACTAATCCAAAGTTGCAGTAGGAAACCTTAGTTATTTAGGATTTGATTTATTTAATTCATGTCTAAATAGGATTTGCAGTTAGAATAAATATAGGAATAGGCTTTCCTGTTTCTAGTTGAAATAGGTTTCATACTATTATAAATAGGGGTACTGATAGCTTATTTTATGTGTGGAGGAAATAAAGAATTGTAGAGAGCTTTCAGAGATTCATAATAAAAATATTTTTCCTTCAAAATATTAAATCTAGAACCCAATCATGAACACTTGAAGTCGTGGTCCCAAAATCTAAAACCCATAAGGTTGAAATCCTTGTTCCGCCTCTGTGCATATATAAGCTAAGGAGACACTACTTGTGTCGCACAATCACGAGGACTTACCAGAAAGAATGATACATCAAACAGAATCATAATATAAAGTTGTCTAGAAGACACCCATCTAATGCAAGCAATTTGGCTATCTAAATCAAGAATCAAATAGTATAATCTGAAGGATTGGAGAGATTACCTCCATTGTCTGTTGTCGATGAGCCTTCCAGTCGACAATCCCTCCAAACTTTGAAACTGCCTGTTTCACAGATTCGATTGGTGCTGCTGTGTCGATTTGAACCTTGTTTATGTCAAAGTTTTCAGGATGCTTAGAATGGGCAGTGGGTCCCGGGATCTTAATTTTGAGAGTGGAAGCCTTGGCTAGGGGCTGACCGATGTTATCGGATGGCTGTACATGATTGTTATTTTCAGGTTTTGTCACTTGGAGAGGAGAACTAGAAGGTGAGTCATCAGCAGTTTGGGTACTACTAGGAGAATTATCTTGAAAATGAAGCAGTGAAGTGTTACTTGCTTCTGCTCCTGAATGATTGGATTGAATATGTTCAGAAGATTCTTTTATTTTTTCCTCATTTATGGCCAATGTATCTGAATTCCTAGTTAACAATGATGAAGCATCTCTCTCATCTTTTGGTTCATCACAAGTATTGTTTAGTTGATCGTGAACACTACCATTAGAACCAGTTGGTTTTGCATTTGATAATGATGGACTGGGTTCATCAGATTTAATAGGAGAGGCTGAAATAAAAGTTTCTGTTGGATGATTCTCACTCTTTTCTGAAGACAAGCTGTGAGAAGCCTCTCCTACATGCTCCGAACCATCCGCAACTTGCTCCTGAGTCTCGGATTTTGCATTTTCATTCGCATGTTGGCTGGTTTGAGTTGCACTATAAGATTGATCGTCGTTTGGAGAGGAAACTTCAGGTTTAAGAGAGGATTCTGGAGCATTTTGCTTGACATCTTTCGCGTCTTCCATTTCCGAATAAGAGCTAAGGATAAACAAGTGGAGACCTTGAAATTGACAAATTAATCATAGAAAAAGTTAGGAGATATACAACCCTTCTAACTGATAAATGACCTTGGGCCTAACTCAACCCTAAAAGTTAAATCTTGAGGTGATGATTACCTAAGGTCATATAAGGAGACGGATGACCTCTCCACCCACCAATGTGGGACTCAAAACCCTCCCTTACGCTCAGGCTTGCAAACTGGAGCATGGACAATATAAATGGGGGTCCATCATCAGTAACTATAAATTGGGGGTGGGTTTGGCTCTAGTACCTTGATAAATGGACTTTAGGCCTTACGCAACCCCAAATGTCAGCTCGTGTGGAGAGGATTGCCCAATAATGGGCTCCTCCACCCAGCGACGTGGGACCCAACACTAACAAACACCAGGTGAACTATAGAACTTGAAAATAGAAAAGACACAATCAATCAAGCTGATCAAGCTCCCTACAACAACTATATATATGCCAGAAGTAACCAATGATCATCAGATTGAACCAAAAACGAGCAAGCTTATAGAGTTAAACCATGCTTAAAACAAGATTAGTCAATTCTCAAAAAGCTCACCGTTTATTAGCCTTAATAAAACTTGCACTTTTATGGGATTAATCGCAAACTTTCACAGGTTAAGTTACAAGTTTCATATAAAACGGGGACCTCAGATACATCAATTAGTTTATGCCCACAAAATGAATTTACCAAATTCTGGATTTTAACCCCCCCTTAACCTCACCCAAAAAGAAGAAAAAAGAGAACCAACTTCGAACTCTTGTAATCCAGATGTTGATAATATGCGAGTTGGAATCAAACCTCCAAAGCTTAAACATAATCATGTTTTGATTACGGATTAATAATTTTTTTTTACATATTGCAATATAATTAACATGAAAAAATGTTGGAAAAAACGAACAGAAAGAAGAAAATTCATACCAGAATCTTTCTTTGTGTGTGGATATATTCTCCAAAAAGGGAAATAAAAAGTACTACTATTAAATATATGGTCCAAAATCCACTGCAAACAAAAAGAAAAGACAATTTTGATCAAAAGATGTCCATAAATGGAAAAAGAAGCAATGATGATGAGAGGATGGGGCAACACAGGGGTGGAGCCTACCTATATAAAATACAAAATTTGAGATAAATTTGTATGAATGAATCAAAAAGATTTTGTGTGTGGGTTGAATAAAGGAATATGAAAAAGAAGAAGAAAAAGCGAGTTTATCAGCTCGCCTTTGTCTTCCTCCTCTCTCTTTTGGCTGTTTTTTCAGTTTTCACCCTCTCTTTTTATCTCTATATGTTGTTCAATATAAATAAACAATAACTAAAACAACCGTAGTTTGATTATAGTCCCTCTTTCAAAGTTGTTTGGTAAGAACGACTTCCACTGGTCCGACCGTGGTAAACCGTTGATGACAGTTATAAGTACAAGGCTGAATTTTTTAATTGAAAACATATGGCATTTTCTATGACCAAAATGAACCCCAATTTTGACTATCGAGGGTATGGTAGAAGAAAAATGAGTGGTCAAGAGGTCATAATTCGAACCGGTATACGACTATTTTGAATGACAATAATTTTATGGTTATTGCTAAAGTATCTTAATTATTTGACATTTCGTACCGGTAAAATTTTCGGTCCCATTTACTTACATTTTTATTAGGGAAAATGCATAAGTACCCCCTAACCTATACTCGGATTCTCAACTACACACTTTTTCTTTGCGGGAATCCTATTACCCCCTAAACTTATTTTAAATGGAATTATTTGCACCTAAAACTAGACAACCAAACTCTTGCCAAGTGGTGAGCTACACGCGTCCCCACAAGTATTTTTAGTACTTCTTTTATTCTTCTTCTTATGAATAAAACTTTTTGAGAGGTTAATTTGTGTGTGAAAAAAAAAATGGAAGAAAAAAGGTTAGACAAAGTCGCCGGTAAATGAATATCTGCCGGAATTAGAGAAAAAACTAAAAAAAAATAGTAAAAGAAAAAAGACAAAGAAAAAGGAAAAGGAAAAGGAAAAAAAATAAGAAAAAATGGTAAAAAGAATAAAAATAAACTGAAAATCATTTTTTTGCTTCTCACTCTCCTTTGGGAGAGTGAAATACACACACTCTGCCACGTCAACGTCAAGGGTGCAAATAATTCCATTTAAAATAAGTTTAGGGGAGTAATAGGATTCCCCCAAAGAAAAAGTGTGTAGTTGGAAATCCGGGTATAGTTTAGGGGGTACTTATGCATTTTCCCACTTTTATTATTTCCTCCGTTTTACTACATATATATGTGTATAATGTATCAAAATACCATGTAATTTGAATATAGTAATTTAAACATTTCATATGAGATTAGCGGAATTAATGAGTTCCGTACTCAATATAAAAAGTGGCATTCTTTTTAAACAGATTAAAAGACAAATAAAACACATAAATTGAGATAGAGAGGATATCAGTTTTTTTTATAATTAAAATCCACTAGGCTGAGCGCCTAGGGCTATTTTTTTTATATATCTAAACAAGGAAAGAAAACAAAGTCACATGTTGTCTTACTAGAAGTAAGACGATATAATTTGTCAACTACATAGCTCATATTATCAATATTTGGGATTGTAGGCCCAATACTGATATTAACAATTAAGTTAAGACTGAAACTTAAGACATGTATCATAACTAGCCAATTACAAATATAGACACTTTCTGCGTTGTTGCATATTTGGTTGCCATTCTGGCCCGTCACCTTGTGTTTCTCCCCAGTTGTATAGCATAGCTCCCTAGCTTTTTCGTAATCATATAAGTTGCATTCATCAGTTTTGACATCTTGCACCCTCCAGCTGTGTATGATTGCTAGTAACACTACCCAGTTCCACACTTCTGTACTGCGTATGCATTTTGACATTTCAGTTGTGCTTCTTGAATGAGTATGTGAACTTCTTCTTCTCCTGTGTGTCTTGTATATTCTTATAGCTATAGGTATTGATTTCCTTCGTTTACACTTGGAAATAATTCCCACCGCTTCAGTTGAAAACTGTTGCCTTTTCCTTGAGATACATATTTCCTGCTCTTTGTTTACATTTTCCAAATGGTCTTGTGTCTTCTTTCAGTATCTGATGGTTCTTCTGTTGTTCTTCATTTGCCTGGCTCCCTGTATGTGGGGATATCCTCAACGATTGTTTCAAGCTGTTCCTCTTAGAGATCTGTCCTTCAACTCTATACCTGATGTATACCTGAGTGTTTGTGAAATTTTTGGTATCACCAAAATTTGTTTCCTGCTGCTCTTCTTTGTCTGAAAAAGGTTGGATCACTGATGGTGTTAATGAGGTGTTAAGCTTCACTTTTTTATTCTTTCCAACTAATTCAGCTTTCAATAGTGTTGCTTGCCAAAGTTGCTTGTCCATCACTGAAAAACTGGACAGCCTACTATCATATCCTGCTCTTATGCTTGTGCCTATCCTTGGTTTCTTTCCAGTGGAATGATTGCTTAGCACTAATACCACCAACTGGAATTCCACCAAAAAAATAGGGCATAAGCACAGTAACATTTCCTGCAAAAAAGAAAACAATGTTAGAAATAAAGGACCTCACCATACTCTCCTCCAAAAGGATTCGAATATGGTAAACAGATGGCTCAACTCCTGCCCTCACCCTCTCCTCCTCTTCCATATCTACCTCCTTACTACCTTCACCCTTATGTATGGACATTGTAGTTTATCACTGTTCACTAATCTCCTGGCATGTGAATCCAGATCCTGAAATCCAAAGCATTCTAATGGACCATGATCTAGTGCATAATTTGCAATGTAGTCTGCTAGGCTGTTCCCTTCTTTAAGTATGTGAGCTACTGTTGTATTACACCTTGTCATCATCTGCTTGATCTCCTCAACAATCTCACTGATATTCCATGGTATTTTCCATACTCCTTCTATTATATTTTTCAGCATCATTGAATCAGTGTTCAACTCAATTAACACATAGCCATTCCCAACACAGTACTTCAGTGCTTCAAGGATTGCTCTTGCTTCTGCAACAGAATTAGATCCCTCCTGAATCTCCTTACCACAAGCATACACTACATTCCCTTCCTCATTTCTCAAAACAAAGCCTACTGAACTCCTACCAGGGTTACCCCTCGAAGCCCCATCAATGTTCACCTTAATCCAACCTTGACTGGGTAACTCCCACAACACCTTTGTATAGTTCAACTTGGGTGTATATTGTTCTAACACCTAATCAGATCTGGCCATCTGTAAGGAAGATTTTGGATCCCTGGTTTCCTGAGCTTGATAAGATAATGCATAGTAGTAGATATTTGATAGATAACCCTGTTAACTGTGACAACATCACCATATTTGTAGATATTCCTCCTCTTCCACAACTCCCATATTATGACTGAAGGTAGTGCTTGCATAATAGGCTTCATTCTCTGAACAACATCAACAATCCAACATTTTGTAATGCCTTGATGCAAAGTGATACCCTCGACTACGATTCCTGCATGTCCAAGGAAGTATTTCCATACAGTATTGGCAGCAGGTGAGGTAAAAAACAGATGTTGCAGTGTTTCTTCCTTAGGTTCTATACAACACCAACACTTAGAGGCCATTTGATAACCCCACCTTCTATAGCAGTCATCTAAAGGAAGCTTGTTCCTCCAAACCTTCCACATGAAGAATGAAATCTTGAAAGAAACTCCTCTCGCCCATGTATTCCTGTAAGCATTTCTAGGCTCATGTCTCCTCCTCAAATACTCCCAGGCAGACTTGACACTAAACTCCCCCCTTGTCTCAAGCATCCAAACAGGTTTGTCAATCATATCATTCCTAGATGGAGGTTGAATGTTCTCCAATATATGAGTAGCAAGGTCTTCTGGAAGAATCCCTCTTATTCTTGCTTCATTCCACTGTCCCTCAATGACCACATCATATATGTTCTGCACTTCTTTATCTCCCACAAAATCTAGAAGTGTAACAAAATATAGTGCACCCAGCCCCGTCCAGTTTTCATACCAAAATAGGGATGATCCCATCTTGAGTTGCCATAAAATCTGATGCTCTATGATATCCCTACACTCTAGTATTTTTCTCCACACATGGGATCCACCCCTCCAATTAACTATGATAGGATTGAGTTTTTTGCAGTATTTCTGGCATATGAAGGAGCTCCACAGGGTTGGTTTTATTCTGAAATTCCACCAAAGCTTACAGAACAAAGCAGTAGCCATATCATGTAGTGATCTGAAGCCCACACCTCCCTCTTCACATGGCAAGCATAAGTTGTTCCAAGATGCCCAGTGTCTATTTGATGTGCCCACTGAATCACTCCAAAAGAACTGAGCAAAGATCTTGTGAAGTCTGTTGATCACATAAGCTGGAGGATTGACTGCTGAAAGTAAATAAATTGGCATGCTCTATAGAACATGAGAAATAAGCACTGCCCTTCCTCCAATGGATAGTAACTTCCCCTTCCAACTCTGCAACTTGTCCATTACCTTTGTTATAAGACCCTTATAGTAATCCATTTTCCTTCTAAGATAGAATATTGGACATCCAAGGTAAGTAAATGGAAACTCCTGCTTTGGAATACCTGTAATCCTCTGAACCTTATCAATCACTTGTGTACTGGTAGATGATGCATATAGACTGTGGATTTACTCTTGTTTATCAATTTCCCAGACACAGCTTCATATGGTGACAAGATTTGCATTATGAGTTGTAAAGATGTGACATCTGATGATGAGAAGATAATTGTATCATCAGCATATGCTAGATGATTTATCTTGGGACTTCATTTGGGCAGCCCAATCCATAGAAATACAGGTTATTGTGTAAAGAGTTCAGCCCTCGAGATAATGCTTCTACAGCCAGAATAAAAAGTGCAGGTGACAGTGGGTCACCTTGCTTCACACCTTTAGTTGATCTAAAGAAACCATGAGGCTGTCCAATTAACAGGATAGAGTACCAGTTATTGGAAACAATCCCAAACGCCAGCCCTATAAATCTTTCTCCAAATACCATCTTCCTCAATACCTTTGACAAGAACAACCAGGACAATCGATCGTATGCTTTTGCCATATCCAATTTGATCACTACATTTGGACCTGCCTTGGTTCTTAGTCTAATATATGTAACTATTTCATGCTTTAATAACACATTCTCCGCTATGCTCCTCCTTTTCACAAAGCCTTCCTGTTCATCAGATATTAGACTAGGCAGCAAGCTTACCAACCTTTCATAAACAACTCTTGAAAAAATTTTGTTTACGAAATTACTAAGACTAATAGGTCGCATATCTGAAAAGGTCACAACTTCTTTCTTTTTTGGAAGAAGAACCAGATTTGTATGAGTTACAAATCTTGGAAATTCATGTCCATTGAAAAAATCTTGCACCATATCTACTATATCATCACCTATTATGTCCCAGCATGAGTGAAAAAATGTACTATTAAAACCATCCAGACCTCCAGCACTTTCTCCATTGAGCCCATAAACTGCACTTTTGATCTCTTCCTTGGTTGGCTGCTGCACTAATTCAATGTTTTTACCACTGTCTACCATTGTAGGGATATGTTGCAAAATGTCAAATGAGCTAGGGACTGATTCTTCATGGAATTGTGCTTGATAGAACCTTACTGCTTCCTCTACCATGTCTGCCTCCTCTTCCAACCAGATTCCTGCTTCATTCTATATTCTTTTCAATTGGAGTCTCTTCCTTCTACCATTTACTTATGCGTGAAAAAACCTTGTGTTCCGGTTTCCATCTTGGAACCAAACTATACCAAATTTTTGCTTCCAAAACTCCTCCTCAAGAGCCAAATATCTAATAAGTTCAGCTTGGACTTTCAACAAATTTTCCCTATTTTGAGTTGTTGGATGCCTCTCGAACTCAGCTTCATGCACCATTACCACTTCCTCTAAACTTGCTATTTTCTGAAATATATCCCCATAGGTTGCCCTACTCCATGTTGATAACGCTTTCTTTAGTTTCTTCAACTTGTGAATAAACAGAATAAAAGGATCACCAGCAAAATCAACCCTTTAGTTGTCCTTTACAACAACCTTGAAGGTGGGATGCTTTGTCCAAAAATTGAGAAATCTGAATGCCTTTTTTACTGGTGCTGCATCTTCTCTACACTTCAATAACATAGGGTTATGATCAGACCCTATTTTAGATAAGTGAGTGATTTCAAGAGCAGGAAATATCTGTTGAAATTCTATATTAGCCAAGCACCTATCCAATCTTTTGAAAATACAATCATCTCCAGCCTGTCCATTCCACCAAGTATATATGCTGCCTTTGAAGCCTAGATCAGTGAGATTACATGTGTTAACACAATGCCTAAGATCATTAACCTCATTCAGTGATACATGCAATCCACCAAACCTCTCTTCCTCATCCCAAATAACATTGAAATCACCCCACAAGCCAAGGAAGTGACATATCTCTGGCCAAATAGTACATGATATCCCATAATTCTCTACGCTCAATGAGATTACATTTAGCATATTACTATGACTGATAGTTGGGTGTTCATATTGGTGATCTTCATTGTTATCTGCTGTTCCATGTTAATCAGAACCTCTACTCCATGATCTTCATCTACAAACACCATATTTTGTTTGATATGTTACCAAAAGCTTGTAATATTCCAATTTTTCTTCTGTACCATTCCAACTTTCTTGCCTTCTGTTTTGGTTCCATAATCCCTATGAAATGAAAGTGATGTTGTCTATTCATATTGATCAGTCTTTCAAATTCTTTCTTTGTCTTGACTGATCTCACATTTCATATGATCGAATTCATGATTGATTTTGAGATTTAGATAGGGCCCTTCTTGTTTGGACCCCAGGAACTACACCTTGAAACTCTTTTGGGTTCTTCTTCTTTCCTCTCCCTGCTGATTTTCCTCTTTCCAGATGCCTAGGAGATAGATCACCCATCCTTGCCACATTCTTAAAATTTTATGTTGTTGATTCTTCATCAAAGTCTCTCCCTGCCTCTTCCATGTTGTCCTCCTCTCTAAGATCGTCACCTTGTGCTGCAAGTTGTTGTTGTATATTCATAGGGATCAATGGAGTAGCTGCTTTCTCTTTAATTAGCTGCTTTTTATTTGCATCATCCTGTTTGTCTTTGACTCCCTCTGCACTTCTTCTCTGTTTAGGATCTGTAGGCCTCTCAATTATTTCTTCATTGCTAGCCTTTGGTAGTTGAGGATCACTGGATTTTACTCCCTTCTCTGTACCACCAGTAGGTTTTGTAGGGCCTAGGTTTGGATCAGCTGGAGGCAAATCCTTGCTAGGATTAGAACTCAATAGCTGCTTATTTCCATCTTCTTTTGAGACCCTCTGCACTTCTGTAATTTGTGTTGAAGTTTGGCAAAATGCCAAAGTCCCACATTGGTTGGGAGTTAAGTTTGGGGGGGATTTTTCCCCTATAAAAGAAGGCCTAATGTTTAGGATTGATACACACCTCTCATTTGCCTTCTCATCTGTTTAAGGCATTTGTATCTTCTCTCTTTAGTATTATTTCACTTGTATTTTTGGAGTGGAACAAAATATTGGTTGTGTCCGAGGAGTAGGCAAAATTAGCCGAACCTCGTAAATTCTGGTGTTCCCTTTATTATTGCTTTATTGTCTTATTTATTATTTGGTGGCTGTCATAATTTTTGGTATAGTAATTGTGACTTATTCACACTCTATACATTTGGCTTCCGCAACAATTTGTACACTTTCTTTCACAGTGTTACTGCTTTCTACCCTTGTTTCCTGCCCTTTGTTTTTGTTATTTACACTTTGCTCTTCTTGATCATTCTCTTCATCTGCTGATTCCTCCTCCCCATTAGCACCATCTGGTACTTCTCCTTCTTCTGAGTCCACTTCAGTTTGTTGATGCCACAGTTTCTTCCCATCTAGTTGTAGTCCTTCATCTCCCTCAACTATCCCATCTATTCCAGTAAATTTCATTGACTGTGAGTGAACATCCTGATATGACTGATTTGTTGCAGTATTATTAACAAATGTTCTACCAACCCATTGAGCAGTAGTCTCTTTAGGAACACCTTGATCAATTGTAACTCTATCTCCTTTCCCAGCCTCTTTCGAATTTGGAGTGTTACCAACTTTAGAAGATGCAATCCCAAAATCAGTAGGTCTAAAAGCTGGAGCAGCTGGATTTAATCTCCCAGCTTCATTAGAGTTTTGAACAGGACTATTTTGACTTGCATTCACCTCTACTATTGCCAACTGATTGTTCTCATTATTCCCATCATCAATTACCTCCAATAATGGAAATTTGTTGGCTGTTTGAACCCTTTGATCTGTAGATTTTTCAACAGTAACCATCTCTCTTCCAACTGGTACTAATTCTTTTCCAGTAATTTCAGCTCCGGTAACTTGTATTTCCAGTAATGTTATTTTTTCGGACAGATCTTAATTCACCATTGAAAGAAAAAAATGTAAATTGAAAAGAGATTGGTTTTTGAACTTAAGATTCAATCTCTGCGTTGTTAAGCGAGTAATCATTTACATATACCAATACATAATAGTAACATTTACATACTTTGCGTGAGTAATTCTTCAAAATAAAGAAAGAAATGACAAGAATGATGGCATTATGCAGGTGTCTTTACAAGATGTGTTTCTCATGCTCCAAAACAAGAGAATAGTCATTCCTCTATGCACATATAAATAAAATTGTGTGAATATATAAGGCAGGTTCATAGATTTCTCTAAGCAAAACACTTGAAGTAGTATAAAAGTATGAAGGTTAAGGAAGAATTAAGAGAACAAAAACAACAAAAGGAAAAGAATTGTTTGAAGAAGGCAATTAGTTAATCAAACAAGCCGTCTTGGATCAGTAACATTTATCTTCCAATGTTCATTTTTGAACCCCAATTTTTCAGCCTTGTTCCTCATCCATTCCAAGCGTATTATGTCCAACCTTGACAACCCACAATATTTCTGTAATTTCTCATCCATGGTATCATGAAATTTCCACCATCTCCAATGTGCGTCATCGTTCGCGTACTCATGATATTCAAGAACATTCCAATTACAATCATAGTCCCTATAACACATCCATGGCTTTAATCCTAGATAATGTATAGTATAAAGAATTGGAGGATCTGCTCCATACCAATGGTCCTTACGACTAATCCCATTTTTTTTTGTCCAAAAATCTTTCAAGAAATTTATCCTTCTTGGTAACCTATGCCACCATACAAACACTTCATTAAGGAAGCCTTGATCACCTCCATTATATGAGATAACATCTTTAGTACGTTGCATGAACATATCGAACGTGCAATTTGATGGCTCGATCACCATTAGTCCGGAATTGAAAATGGACCTGCTGTTACCTGCAGTCGCAAATTCAAGATTTAGAGTCAATAAGTTCTACATCAACTGTGTCTAGTCCAAATCTGTCAGTGGCTACCTGTAGCTGACAACTGGGGCAAATAGAAAAGAAAATCGATGTTACGAAGGACGATTATATCAGAGTCGACAAAAATGATCTTGTCATAGTCTGTGAGTTGCCATAGCCTGAACTTGCTATAGTTGTATTCATTATATGTCTTGTTCTTAGCTCTAGGGTTTCGGATTCTATCGATGAATCGGAGTTTCCAACCGGCTTTGACGAGGGCCTCACGTTTAGGCTCGGAGATACTGAGGTCCAAAAGGAGAAGAAGATCATGTTTGGTTCCTGTTCTGAGAAGACTTTGAGCTAGAGCAAGTGCACCACAAACATAATCTTCAGAGGAATGAAGAACTGTGGCGTAGGCTTCTCGTTTTGCTGTCTTTGTGATGCTTTTAATGTGAGAAACATCGTAGACTTCGTTCATTTCTGAAACCACATTATGTCAATATTTTAGTACGTACATAGATGATTAACATCTAGATTTTCAGAACGAGATTAAATTCTATGTACATTGTAAAAAATAATATATACATAATTGGATAATTGATAAAGTAATTAAAGTTAAGTTTTTATAATAAGTATTACTTGTTGACAATGTTAGCTTCCCCCTACCCCAGTGACCATGCCAAAGGAAATATTCAATTACCTCACTTAAAGACTTTTTTTTATAAATTATCTATCTTCTAAGATTTCAAATTATGTTAGCTCTACTGGACTGTGTAATCGTACTTTATAATTTACTTAGATAAACTTTTCAACTAGCGCCTGTAGCTCAGTGGATAGAGCGTCTGTTTCCTAAGCAGAAGGTCGTAGGTTCGACCCCTACCTGGCGCGTCTAGATTCTAATTTTGCCTTACTGGTTTCTCTTTTTATTATTATATATCTGAAAAGCCTGTGTCATCCTATTTGTTGTTTTTAATTTTTTTTTTCTTTCCTTTTGTTTTAAATCCTAAATCATTACAAAAGCAAGGAAAAAAAAGTGGACAAAAGCAGAATTAGCAGCAACAAATGTTACCTTTTCCCCAGAAAGGCAAAGCTAAATTGCAAGAACCAATTGGCAAAGAAACCTTTTGTTCCAACTTAACAACATCCAGTTGATAATACCACCAATCTCCTTCTTGTTTCATTAAATCATCACATCTAAACAACTCCACCATAGGCCTACATTTGCTCAAAAACACCACTTTTATCTTCCCATTCAAACCCTTTTTTCCTCTCTTCACTACCAAATTTGCCACCACAAGGTGCACTTGCACCCTAAACACATCTCTTCCCCACCCTTCTTCTGGATACTTGCATGGCAATTTTGCAACAATCATGTCCATCCTACCGTAGTTATCGAAAACTGGCATTGATATTTTAGGACATTTGGGTACAATTATCTCTTCTTCTTCATCTATCCATGGTGGAAACAAATCTTTCCATTCAAACAAGTCTGAAACCTTCTCGAATTCTACTGGTATTATAATATCTCCGTGTTTGCTCCAGTCGCTAATATTCTCGTCCTCCATATTCACCATCCCAATTTTCGAATTCGTACCTTTTCCCATCGTGTCCAAGAAACTAGACAATTGATCATGCTTTATCATTTTTCTTATTGTATCGTTAACCACTGGTTGTTTCAACTCTTCTTTCATCTTTATCTCACCTCCGGCCTTTTTCAAAAACAAGAAAATGTTGATTATTATAAACCAAGTGGATGAAACTATTATATATAAATCATTACTCATTTTACCTTTTTATTTTGGTCCACAATAAATGTCTATTTACATAATCAAAAAGGAATTAATTTTATTTTTTAAAAATTTATTCTTATTTACATATTTCAATGTGTCAATTAGGTAACAATTAATTAAGGTTAATATAGTGAATATATATTTTTTTTCTTTCTAGGAATTCATATTTTCTTATTGGGTGTGTCAAAGGTAAAATAATCATTTATTGTGAACCTGAAAAAACGAAAGTTAGTAACCTGAAAAAACGAAAAAGTTAAATACAACTTGATATTATGAGATGTATAATTATTGAAAAATATTTTTCACATTACTAGTGTACGTAACTTAACTAAACACAATACTAAATAATTTTTCAGGCTTGGTTAAAACGTAATCCAACTAAATGGACAAATCCGGACCTCTCTCCCTTTGTTGAATATGGAAAGCTCCCCTTGCTTTTAGTGACGGAGACACTTTCTACAAGGAATGTCATTCAACACCATTTTTTTCAAATAATTCAAAAGTAAAAATGTATATAACTTTTTTAAATAAAAATTTATCGACAATATAAAGTAAATATTAATTAGAGACAAAAAGTAAGCCTTAGAACCTCTACGTACAACACTAAATTCAAATTCGCAAACACAAGCTAATTAAGTTGCGATAATAGACTGACACTACTTGCAAAAAATTTGAGTATGCTACTGCTTACCTTACATTCACGCGACGAGCATACAACAATGGATTCTGCATTTTCGTGATAAACAGAAGTTGATGGACGGAGAAGAAGGCCGGCGTAAGCAATCAAGAAGCAAGCCAAGAAAACCAAGTTGATTTTGATGATCAACGCCTTTGATAGAGGAGCCTTCATGTTCATCATTTTAATTTTCAATAAATAATTAAATCCAAGTGTGGAAAGCAACCACCAAATTAACCAGACTGTTAATGAAGTTTTATAATATTAAAAAAATTAGGTTGTTAATCAGGTGATTAATTAAGAAAAAAGACAAGGGAAGAAGTAAAAAAGAAAATCTCCAAAAATGTGTATTTCTTTGTTATAAAACTTTCATTTCTTCCACACAGAAGGGTGTGACAAATGATTGATCTTTAATTGTTTGCAATGCATTTTTAGAAGGCCATTTTCTTATTAGTTATTTATAGAAATAAGGATAGTTTCTAGAAAGAATGTGCACCAATCCCTTAAAATCCAAGATTTGAAGGTGAAAATAATCCCCGTGCCTTAGTTTGTATTTATTGCCGGATCAAGCATAGCTTTATTTTGAGATCTTACCATAAAGTTTTAGTTGCTGGAACAAAATTTAATTATATAAAAAGTAAATATAATGGGACAGATTGTTTAAAGAAAATGTGCAATCCCCCATTTTGCAATCAATGAAAGAGAGAAGTTATTGTTTAATTATTGGCCTGTCAATGTCCATAGTCCATACTGTATACAAATTAAAAGAAATGAGGTTTTCAACCGTTAATAAATCGCATAACTGCAGCAATACTTGAACTTTGAACATTTTCTGTATCTTTTTTGATGAAAAAAGCATCTTTTTTGTTCTTTTTAATGTCATATATAAAACAATTGATTTTGGTTAATTAATAAAAAACTTTTATAGACTTTAGGTTGGATAATCACTACATATATAGTCTCCATTGTCAAACAAAATTGCCATCTCTCATTCTTCGCACGACCAAACTGGAGATGGTACGGTACGTATCAGTGGACACTGGTGCGCTCTATGCTCATCCTTCAATAATATAGGGTGTAAATATGTTGTGAACAGGCCCAATTCTAATGATAAATTTGGGCTGGATGCTTTGAATGATGAAGCCGATGTAGAAGTGGGCCAGGGGATAAAGTTAGAAGAAGCAGTCGCATTCCGGAGAAATTCAGAATTACAAGTGGTCATTCAAAAATAGCCACAGTTTCAAAAGTACTTATGGTGGAACTCCAGTATAATATACTGGAGTTCTAGTATAATATACCGATCCAGCATAATATATTGGAACTTTCTGCGTGTTGGAGTTCCAGCATAATATGCTGGAAGTTCATACACAGGTGCACCGATCTCCAGTATATTATGCTGGAACTTTTCGTATTGCAGCGACTTTGCAAACGCTCGCTATTTTTGAATGACCAATCCGAAAACTGGCTAGCCCGTGCTATTTTTACAGCAGGGGAATTTTCACATATATCCATTTTTGGGGTGGACATTGAAGTTATACTCGTATTGCACAAAAAATGAAAAAATTTACCCACTGGGATATGAAATTCTCCTATCTCTTCGATTCGACTTCAGAATCAGATCTGAAGTTCATCTATCTTTCCAATACAACTCCAGAAAATCAGATCTTAAGTAGTTCTATCAGTTGAATTTTAAATTACAGAATAGTTTACAAAAGACATGCTTGAATTTAAAAGGCAAAAGTTATCTCATTTATATAAGATACATATATGAAACTGTCAACGAAACTAACTACAACATATGCGTACAACACTATTTACAATAATATCCTTGTCACCCTCCCTCAATCTGAAGTGGAGGAACGAACATGAAGATTGGCAATAAACTTCTTGAATTTTGTAGCAGAGAAACCTTTAGTAAAGACATCTGCAAGCTGTTGCGAGGTGGATACATGAGAAACAATAAGATCACCTTGACTAATCTTCTCACGAATAAAATGATAGTCCAAAGCGACATGTTTCGATCTGGAGTGATATACTGGATTATTCGCCAGATGTATGACACTAATATCACATTTTGCAAGAATAGGAGTACGCAGATAAATGACCAAGTCACGTAAGATAAATTGTATCCATATAGCTTCAGCAGTTGCAACAACTAGTGCACGATATTCAGCTTCTGTGTTGGAACGGGAAATAGTCGGTTGTTTCTTTGTAGGCTAAGAGATCAAGTTATCCCAAAAAAGATGCAAAATCCAGATGTTGATCGACGAGTTGCTGCACAACCTGCCTAGTCCAAATCTGAAAATATTATTAGAGAGACAGAGGACTGTTGGCAGAGCTATAGGCCATGAGGAAGGGTTCCTTTAAGATAACGAAAAATTCGGTTAACAGCTTGAAGATGAACTAGCCGAGGTTGATGGAGAAATTGTGAACCCATGTTCATAGCAAATTGTATATCCGACCGCATAAATGATAAATATTAAAGGCTTCCTACCATTTGGAGATATAGAGAATGATCATCAAGAAGTGGTGTAGTATCAGAATGCCATTCAAGTTTGTTGTAAAGATGAGTTTGAACAGGTTTGACTTCTGCCAAACCAAACTTATGCAAAAGGTCCTGTATATACTTCCTTTGCGACAAAAGAACTCCATTACTATTGTGAACTATCTCTACGTCGAGAAAATAACAAAGGGAACCAAGATCTTTCATTGTATATTCAGATTTCATGGATATTATAAATTCAGAACCAAACATCTTTGATGATCCACAAATAGCAATGTCATCAACATAAATGAGCAGAATCAAAATAGCACTCTCTCTGCGAAAGATGAACATGCTATGATCTGAGATTGACTGTGCAAAACCAAGGTCCAAAAGATAAGTGCAAGTCGAGCAAAACCACGCCCTAGGTGATTGTTTCAACCCATAAAGTGCACGTCTTAGCTTGCAAACATGGTGTGGATAATCTGGATGTTCAAAACCTCTGGGTTGCTGCATATAAAGATCCTCATTTAACTCACCAAGAAAAAAGGCGTTAGAGACATCCAGTTGAGGCATACGTCACTACTAGAAATCCGGGGAAAAACGACCGCAAAAAGCGACCAGAGTTGGTCGCTATTGGGCTAAAAAGCGACCAAAAAGCGACCACAGAGGCCTGGTAGCTATATTGATGGTCTCTTTTATTTAGGGACCAAAGTTGGTCGCTAATTAGCGACCAACTTTGGTCTCTAAACTAAATGGACCAATTTTTCCGGATATTGACTATAGAGACCAACTTTGGTCGCTTTATTAATTTAATAATATAAATTTGGCGACCAAAGTTGGTCTCTAAATATAAAATACGTTATTTATTTATTTATTATTAATCATTAAAAAGCGACCAACTTTGGTCTTTAATCCAAATATTATATTTTAAAATCTGGAAACTAGAGACCAATGTGTTGAAGTTTGGCAAAATGCCAAAGTCCCACATTGGTTGGGAGTTAAGTTTGGGGGGGA